GAGGAGCGGATGGGGCAGAATTTGGTCAGAGCGGTTTAATTAAGGCTGGAGTGGTCGCTCTGTCTCACTCCAATTTCGCTCCGATAGAAACATGAGTGTGCTATGTGAACAGGCGGAGGCCAGAGCAAAATATGAGCAAGTTTTATGAGGTTATAGCATATCAAGTCTATAAAGTAAATAAAAGCAATAAAAGCCTATAAAGTAAATATTTGTAATCAAATAAATTAGTTTTGTCATTCAAAGTAGGTCTAATAGGATTTTTTTATTTCACATAACGCTGTCAATTTTATTTTAGAGAGACGCAGCAGCAGCATCATCAACAGAAAAAAAAATTGAGGAATTTAAAACATGGATGCTTAGCCTTGCCCACTGATTCCTTTATTTTTAAGTCTATTTTTGTATGGAATGCCATTGCCATTACGTTGTTGCCTATATGTTGCTTAAAAATAAATATTTTCTGTTCTGAGTGACAATGTTACCGTTGCTCATATTTCTTTGTGATATAAGGCTTCGGTTTAAAGGTGACATTTGTTAGGCATGCAGATAATTTGTCCCTCTTAAATTGGAGCGAACTTGGATCAATTTGACTGGAGCGGGAGGAATTTTAGTGGAGCGCGGAGCAGTGTTGAGCGGAGCGGCTTAGTGTGAATTGGAGCGGAGGAGTATGAATACAGTGAGTATAGAAAATCTGCACACCTGTCCATTTTCTCCAGGTGATCCCCACAGGGAGGCTAAGAAAATCACAGGGCCATCTCTGCAGCATTACAGAGAAACCAGTGTAGAGCTAAATTACTACCAAAACGTCCCTACTGCCTCTCAGCCAGAGTCCCTAAATCCCTTCATGGTTCAGCCAAACAAATTACCTGCCCCTTCTTGTGCAAAGACATCCACTCTCAACTGCTCCAAAGTTGACAAGCTGAAGATACCATGACACTATGCCTCTAAAGAGGGGGGGGCGGCTAAATCATAATTCCCTCTATCATGGTCACTCCAAATAGTGGCGCACCAATATGGAAATTTTGGCTGATATAGATAACCGATATCTCTTATTGATAACCGACAAACTCTGAACTCCACCAATCTGCAGTGAAATGGAATGTGTGTAGCAATCACATCAAATAATGTAGACAGTGAGACATCAGCAAAGTAGTGATGACTTGGGAGACTGTAACAAGGTTCTAAGTGGGGAATTCGCCAAGAAAAAGCCCTTGTCCCCCACCACAAGCCAAAGCAATCATCTCCATTATTTTAGTGTTATTGTGTCTTTAGCTCTGGTGCTGCTAACCGTGAATATTGACTATCGTTTAGCAATGTTGACTAAGATTAATACATCGGACCAATGCCGATGTCTTGATTTTTAACAAAAACTGGGCAGCACTGAAATATTAACTGAAACATCATGCATCTCTAACCGCAACATCTTATACTGATCACTCTGACAGGTCGTGGTGTAGTCACGAGATCCAAAGAACAGACTCTCAACACAAAAACACATGACCCAGCACACAAACGTCATGACTGCAGGTTAACTACACCTCCTTCAGCAGTCTGGGCAGAGACTCTCAGATAGGTTGATGAGGCTGTCTGTCACAGTGACCAACCGCAGCCTGTTCACTGGCTGAACATTCTACAGCAACATGGCAGTGGACATGACCCAAAGAAAGTACCAAGTACCTCTCAATCGCCAATGTCACAGTGCTGATATAAATGCTCATGACACAGAAGCCAGAACCAAATCTCCTGAGGGAAAAAAAATGGACTGGCCAGCGTGGATCCACACAGCCTGACTCATAAGATTATACAGCAAAACCAGAATATGGCAAACTGTTTAACTCGCAAATGCCAAATTTTAGCCAAGCCAGTGAATAAACCACAAATTAATTCAGTTAAGTCAAGTATCATAAACAGGGTTTAAATTTCACTAAAGTCCACAAACAGCCACATAAGTCTGTATAACAGAGGTAGAAGCATGGAGACTCAGAGGAACAATCACAACTTTCTGAGCTGTGGTGTAGGCATTTCTGGTGCTTTGCGCAGTTCACTGAACCTTCAGGTCGAGGAACTTCACACCTTACTGTTGACTGCACTCAGGGCCTTAGCTGGAGGCAGGAGTCCAACATGGGGGCTGTGTCATGCATGAAACGAGATTGTCAGATTTAAAATACCTTGGTTTAAATCAGTGGTTCCCAAACTGGGAGGCCACCAATGGAATAGCCTCAGGGGCAAAATAATCTCTTCACAGAATGGACGATTAAACAAATAAAGCAGCACAACATTACAGTAACTAACAATATATAAACCACTACCTTACGTGTACTATTAGAGCATTTATGTAATTTATTTAAACTTTATTTTACCAGGTAAACTAACAAAACCAGTTCTCACTGCTTTACGTGATATTCGGGAGAAATAGCAGATAACGCATCTGAACTTCCTGGGATACAAACGTCACGTTCTTCAGCCAATAAGGGCAAAGTTGTGTCGTCACGGAGGCAGTTCCAGTTTGTTCAGCCGGCTGAGAGATGCTGTACGATCTGTCTTAAGTAGTCTTGCTCTTGCAAGGTTTTTGTACCATGTGACATGATGATGCGTGACAACGTTTTGCAGCGCCGGACAAAAAGACATCTAACCATATCAATAAAAACGAGGTTTCGAATTTTCTACATGAAGTGCAGGGAGACTATCAATTAATGGGTAAGATCTAGTGTCGCTTTGTGCTATAGTATAGGCTGAAACCTGCGGTTATCATTAAAAACAAAATGCGGTAATCGTAAAACAAACTAATTTGTGTACGCCAATGAATATTAACAGGAACGTTAAATCTGCATTTGCATAATTTCAAACTTATGATGCACTTTAATTTTTAATTGATTGCTCTTTTTTCTCCCACAGTGGTGAAATTGCACCATTTGTTTTTTGTAATTGCATTTGTTTCGCTCAATTAGAAAAGGGAGTTGTATTTCAAATAAAGTTTGAATCTGAACCTATGTAGTTTCCTATTTAGAAAAGGGGGCCCTGCATTGAAAGCTTGGGAACCACTGGTTTAAATGGACTTCGTTCACTTACATTTAGTTCAGACTAACTTTTTTGATTTAAGGTATCTTGCTACCCCAAAAATCCAGCTTCCTGATACAGGCCCAGAGTGTCTAGCATTCTTGGCAACAATTAAGGCATTCCTTCTGGATTGTTCTTTCACCCTCATTACAGCTACAGTGCTCCTTGGGCTTTTCCAATACCCATTCACGACCTGAGAAAAAGAGGACAATGCCAAGGAAAATGGGTTATTTGCACATTCTCCTGGGATGTTAGTAGATGAACTGTAAAACGCTTTGAGACAATGTAATGTTCTGAAAATGCAGTATACCAATGAAATTGAATTGAATGGACACTCGGTATCCACGTTCTCCTTTACTCAGGAGAGAGTACCAAAAACTGACTACATACTCGGACAACAGTGTTCACAAAACGTCTCTGGTATCCCACCCGTTTCACATGAAAACTATAAAAATCGAATCGTAGACAGTGTACTTCATGTCCTACCTTTGGCTGTAATTAATGCACATATGTCATCTGGAGTAATGAACTACAGTGGTCGCGATCAGTTAGGCAGCTACAGCTCAGTTTAAGATGTTTAATAAATGTCCGCGTCTTTATTTAAATACTTTCTACCGCTGCGTTCAGAGACCACACCTTTTCTCTTTTCTCGTTTTTTCGTAAAGGAGGAAACAGCATCCGGAAAAGAAAGACCGAACAGCATCGCTAACCTCAAAAAAGTAAAAATAGCGACGCAAACACAGGTCAGCAGCTCGGCGAACCAAATTAAAGGCGAAACACGGTGCCTGCCAGTTATGTACATGTATATAAAAAAATAAATAAAAAGGGAAAAGTTTATATGCGGGAAGCAACTTCCCCGGGACAAGACTGCTTTGACTTAAAGGACAGGCAGTATGCACAAGCCGTGGACACTCATTTCGAGGTAAAACAATATATGGCATAACAGCCAGAAGTAAGCAAATCTACTCTTCAACTTAAGGTAGCTTAGACCACCCCGGGCCTCCCGTGAAATAAACCCTTCGTCGGGTAGTTCAGGGGAGTACAGGGCAATATTACTATGCGCTGCTTTGAGGTAGCAGGCAGGCAATCGGGCAAAGACGCGTACTGATTGCAGAAAAACGCCAAGAATTTCGTTCGTTTTGCCCCCGGGACAATAGCAAAAATCCGACCCCCGATGGCAGCTGAAGTCAGCAGCCACTCTTTACAAAGAAAAACTGTTGCTGGGATGCACCATATTAAAGTGTCAATGCGTAACCTACTAAGTCAGGCTAATTTTTTTTACGGCAGAGACATCTGTCATACAATTCGAAAGGGAGTCAGGAAAGGCCCATATACAATGGCGAATACGGGGAGAAAGCAGCTCCATAACTCCTCTATCAGCAGCCCAGCGATGCCAGCGTGGACTCGCAAATCGCTCGGAGTGCAGAGCTGCACCAGATGCGGCTGAAAAGCGGATGCCCCGGTTATTTACGTGTTACACAGTCACTAACACGCCATGCACCGCCAAACGAGCTCAAACCAGAAACTACCGTTAAACGAGCGCAAAGCATGCACAGCTGGTCGTGCATTCACATAGGAGGGAGTTCATTGCTCGGCTTAAGCCATGTAGAAACAAGAAAATCGTGCATTGAGTTTCCCGACCAGTTTACTGCACTTTATTTTACCAGGGTTTATGCGAGTGATAGACAAGAGAATTCTCCTTTTATGTGACGGAGGTTTTTTTTGTATAACTACCCAGTAGGTTTGCAAATGCGAGTCGAGAACTGCTTCCAGGCAGACTCCACCAGAAATGAAAGGTAGATGCGGAATCAGAAAAAAAGCTCGATTTCACAAGCGTTCGCTTCAGGAAGTTGCAAGCTAAATGAGAAATGCACATCGGGGAAAAAGCATGCAGGTTATAAAGACGCTTTAATAGAGACATGGTAAGCGTTCTCCCCGACTCTTACCTTGTCCAGGCAGTTCACTTTTTCCGTGGGGTACACCACTTTGTTACATCTGCCACACAGGGGATTCATGCTCACAGGTTCTGCGTTCACAAAGGCAGATTAAAATATAATATATGAATAAGACAACCGTCCAACTATCTTTGAACACAGCAAGAAGAACCTCGACTGCAAGGCAGACACACTCCTCCTAGTGCTGGGAACGAACAGTATGAATGTACCGCTGGCTGTCAGCGAACCTGAAGTGAGCAGCGAGCACTCAGCCCATTGGTGCGCGATCCCGACGCCGAGAGGGAGGAGGAGATGGTCGCGGGAACGCGGATTTGCATTGTACTTCTTTTGTTGTAGTTCTTACTTGGTCAGGAAATGCAACCCATTTTCAGTATTGATTACGCCTATAGCGTTTACCATTCGGCCTGAGCATTGCGCGGACATCTGTGTATAGCTCTATTTCAGCGCGTATTAATCCTACATAGGATAATTAATGTAATGGCGCGCAAGTTGAAGTTTCATTTGAAGTATATTTTAACACACATTTCATATGCTGTTAAGAAAGGTGTAATTAGGAATATAGTTAATAGAAGGACATGCTAGAAAATACCGTTTTAAAGCTTGCTTATGAATGAAAAAAAAACAATGGTCGCTTGTTGAATCTCCGGTTTCCTAGTCTTGTTTTTACCGCCCTCTTCTGTTAGAAAACAGAAAATCCTTATTGTCCGTCTGCGAAGAAACAATAAATTCAATTAAATTGGAACGAAATTAGAAACAGTGCACATACAACGGATAATTCTTACCTTGCTTGAGGTCAGAAAAACAAATCATAATAATTTCCCCTATGGAGGGCTAAGAGTGCTAAATACACATTCATTCATTCATTCATTCATCCATCCATCCATCCATCCATCCATCCGTTTATTTAATTTTGGCACTCTTGCCCCTTCTTAATTACTCTGCTTAAGTAATCCATGCTTTACATATGTAACTGACGTAAAACATGCATTATTGCATGATGTGTAATATTTTGTATTAGGAAAAAATTTTCATTGGGGGTATAGCTCAGTGGTAGAGCATTTGACTGCAGATCAAGAGGTCCCCGGTTCAAATCCGGGTGCCCCCTATTTTTGTAATTTGTTTTATGAAAATCATTATATAGTCATAGTTGTATTTTGCTCGTAATTTTCTTGAACTGCGTAGGAAACCAGTTTTCTTTAATTTGAAAGACAGAAAACAATACATGTACAGTAGCTATATTAATTGATTAGTGGGTTTAGATAAACCTTTTTAGAACTAGGGAGTATGCGTGATCACATAAATAATTAAGAACGAAAGACCTGAGGGGCGGTTTAATACTTCTTTTTTTTTCCCAGGGAGACCTTGAATGTTTTTGGATCCGACCGGGGCTGATTTTAGTACATTTGAGTCTCTTTTGCTCTGCGTGAGATGGATGATACAGCTACAGTAGCACGTAGCCTAAGTCAGTTGACCAGATGTTCTCGCGGACCACTTGTGGTCTATGGACCCCCAGGGAGCAGCAGATCCCAGGTATTAATTCCCTCGCTTAGAAGATGTGGGGGATTTTCAGCGCTTTTATTATCTGCGCTGCATTTTCTGATTGATTTTTAAGTATTATCTCAGAAATCATAGAATTGACAATTTTACAGAAGCATGCACGTTGTCAGCATTTAAATACATGAATGAATAATTTTTCCTTATTCAAACTCAATGTCTCGTAGAATGTAGTCACATAGAAAATACGTTAAAAATACAGCAACTGATTCTCGAAAACGCGCATCTTCGAGACTGTACTCGGAATTTCACCAGTAGAAGGTGCTCAAGTACAACTATCTAGTAAAAGCTTTTATATGGCTCCAGTTCGTCTATCATTTACATTTACATTTACAGCATTTGGCAGACGCCCTTAGCCAGAGCGACTTACATAAGTGCTTTAAGACTCTACAATGAATTTTCCCGATACTAGCTCAATAAAAACAAGGCTATGAATACCATCGATCTAATACCCTGCTGGGAAAGTGCGTGGTTTTTTTTTTGTTTTTTTTTTTTATAAATGGAAAAAACTGAGTATAATGCTAGAAGTGCTAATTCAGGTATTTCTGGAAAAGGTGTGTTTTAAGTCGTCTTTTGTAGACATTTAGTGACTCAGCTGTTCGGACATCTAGGGGGAGTTCATTCCACCAACTTGGTGCCAGAACAGAGAAAAGCCGAGAGGTGTGTCTTCCTTGTGCCTTGAGGGGTGGTGGGACCAGCCGAGCAGTGCTGGAGGATCGGAGAGATCGTGGTGCAGTGCAGGGTGTGATGAGGTACAACATATATACCATATATACCATCAGGTGTTCTGTGCAGCTGAAATTTGTGTATGCCTGTCAAGTTCTTTCACTTCCACCTCAACCAATTATTTCGATATGGAACTCTCTTTGTGTTCATGTGCTGAAACATGAATTGGCTTTTCCCCCATGACCTACTGCGGAGATGAGAAACCGTGGTTAGTAGCGAACACTATAAATTACTTGTTTTTCGTGCATTCACATACCTGAGATAAAGTTTAATTCATAAATTTCAGAGACCGCCGTTGTCAAATCAGTGGATCAAGTCAGATTCCTAACCAACATTAATGTTAGCTAGCTAACTAGCTAAGAGTTAACTAAACCATTACTGATAAAGATTCTTATTCAAAACAACATTACAGTAAACTACAGCAATAGAAGATACAAAAAGAGCTTTAATATGAATAAGGTAATATTCGTCCACTTTCAAAAATGACTAGAAATGCTCAGAAGAATATCTGATGGGACAAATGAAATAAACGTGATTCGCAGATTCAGATGACAGCAGCTAAAGTTGACCAATTGGATGAGGAGAGCAGAAATTTGGGTGGACATTGCTCACCCCTGCCCACTTCTAGCTCCGGACGTGGCCCTAGCCCAAAAATGAAAAACAGGCCCAGTCTTTCTCCACCAGACTTTACAATCAGTGTTAAACATTCAGGTGTGTGGAGTTCTCCTGGCATTTACTAAAACCAGACTGTCAGATTGCTAAATGCTGATGTGCGTTTCCACTGCTCCAGAGTCCAACAGTAGCAAGCTTTACCTCATTACATTTGATGCTTGGCATAGCATATGGTGAGCTCAGGGCTATGTGTGGTAGCCTGCTCATCAAAACCCATGCTGTAAAACTTCTGATGAATAGTTCCTGTGCTCCAGAGACAGTTCTAAATTTAGCATGAAGACATAGTTTTCATACACCATACACTTCAGCAATGGGGGTCCTTTCTGTGATTTTGTGTGGCCTACCACCAGTAGTTAAATCACAATCAGATGTGTCCTGCCTCGATCGTCCAGTCCTTCCATGTGCCACGCCCCCTCGTTAACCCCGTGTGGAATCCCCGTGTGATCAGCTGTTTCTGGTTGTTGTCATTAGTCCTCTGTATTTAGTCCACATTTTAGTTTGTTTCCCCAGTCCGGTCATTGTATTGTCCGCCTGCATTTTGCCTGCCTTACCTGTAATTAAACCCTGTATTCCCCGATACCCTGATGTCTGCGCCTTTGTCTCCGTTCCGTCCCCGCTTGGCACAACAATATTA